CAACCAAAATAGTATACTCTACCTGCAGGTAAGAGAATCCATCTGCTTTACTATGCCAGATATTAAAGAAATTCGCAAGTATAAGAGAATGCCATTCTTCACATGTTTGGTTTTGAAAACAAGTTTTCAAATAAAATATATTTGTGGTAATGTATAATGGTTTGTAATTGTTTTCTCAAATAAATTAGTAAAATGTAAAAGTTTCTGATTATGAATGGACTACAAAACATACAGTATGCTATTCTATTCAGATAGACTGAAACAAAGTAATCCATAGTAAAAAGACACCAACAGTGTTCTACTCTCCTTAAAATCATTCTGCTGAATGATAAAGATCCTTTGAAAGCTGAATAGTATTCACAGGTATAGTCTATGTTTGCCTTCAAAAAACTGTCACATGCTTAAAGACATAACGTTTCTAGTTACTACATATCAGAAATATCAGTCATAAAAGAGAAGGAAAGGCTAAGGGATTGTCATTTCAAAGAGACAAAAAATAAATGCAATATGGGATCCTAGACAGAACATGGATTAGAAGAAAGGCAATATAGGAAAAAAAAAAAAACACTGTGAAATCCAAATAAATTTTGTTCTTCAGCTAACAGTTCCGTACCAAGGCAGTTTTGAAAACTGTACTCTGATTATGGAAGTAGGAGATGCTGGGTAAAGTGTAGCTGTCAGCTCTCTACACTATTTGAACTTGTAAATCCTAACTCATAAACTCACAAAGTTTAAAACAGAAAGACTCTACTACCAAGATTCAGCACAGAACAGTTTCACGTCCATCTATCAGATATGTTCCAAAACAAGCAAAACAAAAGTGACAGAACTTCTAAATTCAGTGACAGAACCTACAACAACAACAACAAAAGCATCAAACATCTTTTTTTTCCTTTCCACTGAAAGTAAACATTTAGGTTGTCCTGGCAAACTGTCAAGTGTTACTGTGATGAAACACATCAAATTATGAGACTATATCAATAAAACACCAAGTTTCAAACAACACTGAATGAAGGACACAAACTGTACTGAAGTTACTCTTAGGGGAGTGAGGGGACCGTCCTGATTTTAAAAATTGAACACAATGAAATCTATGGACAAACAATAGGCTATGCATAAATTAGCTGAGTGAATGGTTAGTCTACATAAATATTACTTTTCGAATATAAGGTTTCAATACTCAGCAAATGTTTCTCCAAGGCAATAAAAGTATATTATTAGAATCTATCCTTTAGAGCAGGGGTCAACTAGCTACAGCCCAAAGGCCAAACCCAGCTGGCCTGTTTTTGTACAACCAGGACCTAAGAATTGCTTTTATATTTTTTAAAAGGTTGTAAACAAACAAAATAGAGTGACAGATATCCTCCGGCCTACAAAGCCTTAAATATTTGCTATCTGGCCTTTTATAGAAAAACTTTGCCAATTCCTGCTTTAGAGTAATGAATTTTATTTAATTAAGTGAATTTGATTATTTTAGTTATTAATTATAAAGTCCAATGTGGACACTATACTCTGAAATATCTTTTTTTTTAAACCAACAATTTACTAAATTCTTTTAATATTAAACCCAGAAAAAGTTTTTGAAATTTGAAATGAAGAATTTTATAGAAATCATTGCCAATCCTGGAAGTAGTCTCAGGTACCACCATAATAAATTTCTCAAATTTCACTGACTCTGAAAACTTCCTATACTCCCAAGAAATGTCATCCATTCCAGAACATTCTGCTTTAGCATGAGACCCACAGAAAACCACCAGCTATCAGTAGTTACATAGTAAAATATATCCTCAGTAATCTTTTATTAACTTAACACTGATCACAAAGTTGAAATTTTCCCATTTCCTCCAAGGGTCTATAATCTGACCTCTTGACTTTTTAATCAGTAGAGAAAATCTGTCTTCATCTCAAACCAGTTTTGATTTAGCAAATTATTGATAAACTACAAATGTACCTCCCAATTGAGAATATATGTAAAGTACACCTTTTGTTTCAAAACAGATTTAAACCATAGTGAAGTTTTACAGAGCTCAGGCCAATGCCCTTTGTGAAGGGAATTACTTAGTATCAAAAATGTTTTTATGCATAAAGAAATCACATTAAAAATGTTTTCAGATTATTTCTTAAATCTTGAAAATTAACTTACTATAAATTATATATATTTTCAAACCCTTAAAATGGAATGAAAATTACCAGGTGGCCCAAAAGAACTTCCTAGAAGAGTTTTATTGAGTTTTACTTTTTCGAGTCCTTTGGTTATCTGCTCCTTACTTCACAGAACATGTATGACCCAGATTTCAAGTTACAATGGGTTTCGGCCTTCATTCAGTGAGGGGAAACTCAGTCCTCTGTTGAAACGGTACTGCCACTGACAATCACTTTACTAACAATCACTTTAACATCTACCAGCTTAGGTTTACTCAGAAGAACAGGACTGGCCTATGAGCCTTCTAAGGTCTCTGACCATCTCTAGACTCCTGATGCTGTAACTAGATTTTAAAAAATACTTATGACCTGCCTCATTTCAAACACCATCTGCAGCAGCCTATGCCTTATATACACATGGGGTACTGGCTACACACAGAAGAAAAACACACAGTGAAGACTGCAGTGTAGAGAAAAGGGAAGAAGCAAGGATTTTACCAGAAATCAGCCTCATCATAATCCAATACTATCAGCCTACATTGTTTAATGCAAGCACACATTTCAAAACTGTCAGACCATTGAGAGAAACCACAGGTTTCTTCCATGCTGTCTTCCCCCAAAGCTGAAGCAATCATTTCCTAAAAGAAGTATTTAGAAATACCTCTTGATTTAAGCATTCAAAAAGCACATGCAATAAGCAGACTTCACTGTGAAAGAAAAATGGAAAGTTGCCTCCAGAGCAAATTTGTATCAAGAAGTCGCTTTTCCAGTAATTTCAAGTTGAGCACCTCAAGTTTACTTCTTGAACTTGAGAGAAATGAAATAGACAAAAATCACAAGCCTTACCTCCCTGGAACTCAGGCATGTCCCGCTTCCCTGATGCCTAAGGAGGCCACTGCCCTGCAGAGCAGAGAGGCTTGGGCACTCCCAGCTCCAGGGCCAGGCATGGGAAGCACAAGGGCCATTAAAGGAGGTCTGCAGCAACCCCAAGCTTTCTTCAGACCTTCTCTAGATCAGGGCAATCTTGGAATCTGCCAAAGCCCGCATTGCAAATGAAGGGCCTTGAATTCGCAAGAGGCAAGTAGTCTCCTGGCTCTTCTCAGATTTTGAGGACCCAAATCCAAAAAAATAAACAGGCTCCTTAAAAGTGGTATTTGCGTCCAAAGACACTTGAAAATACAGAATAAAAGACATACACCATGGAACCACTAACTGAAGGCAAGCACTGGAAAAAGTTTCCTCATGGAACGTGCTGTTGAAAGGCACAGAATTACAAAGATGTCAGACATTAAAAGAACAAGGCAGTAAAAAGGTTTAATATCAAAATTCTCTTTCTAGGCCACAAACAAAATGTTCATGAGTTGGCTGAAACAAATGGCCAACTACTGAACCTAGTTCTGAAACAAACAGAACTCTAGAAACCTAAAGAAGTCTTTCAGTGACAGCTCACAATAGCCCTCAATAAGCAAAGCTCTCAGCAGCAGACCTTCACTGACCATAATTGAGGATAAACGCTGAATCTGCCTCGCCTGCTCTCTTCTGCCTTGCCTGCAAGTCCAGGGTCGCCAGGAGCACCATGGCTCCTGCTCCCACTAGGGAATCAGTGCCTCCAGTACTGCCTCCAGGAGTGACCCTATGACTGTCAGCAGCTCAATTTCCTCAACAACTAAGACAGTTGTTCTAGAAAATAAGCCACCTCATCCAGAGCCCTCAGGCTGCACAGCTGCAGAGACAGGAAGTGCCAAGTTCAGGAAGACCTGCAGAGATCAGGTCAGGGTCACAGGCTGGTGACCTAAGGCTTTCCTCCGGGCGCTTCCACACCCTACAAACCATCTCCACCTTTCAGCTCAGAGTTTCCCTTGAAGATTGAAAAGCTGAATTATTTCAGGGAGTAGTTCCTACCATCCTAGGCCTGCTCTGACCCAGAAGGCTTTCTTCTTTTCATTCTCTCTGTCCTTCCCCTAGAGCTGCAGTGAGAAATTGGACAGCACTTCCAAGACACCAGGCCTTAAAGACCATCTATGGAAAACCTCACTTAATTTGCACTAAGGAAAAGCTGCCTAACCACTGAAGTCTACACTTCAATCGGATGAATGTATAGTATGGAGACTGTTTTTCCATAAAAAGTGCTACAAAATAAAAACAGAGCTACCAAACTGGTAGGAAAAAACAAGCGAATTTTCTTCAGGATCAAGGCAAGAGACTAAGCTCAGATGTGTTTCATACCTCTCAAAATTAAACAAAATGAATGGCTGCTTGTACAGAGAGCAGAGACTAAACAAACTCTTGTTTTTGTGGTGTAATCAGTGCATCCTCAAGCCTTGTTCAAAAGGAAACAGCCTCGGAGGGTATTACCCCTCAATGAAAAAAAACCTCACTTTGAGACAGTAAAACAACAACAAAACCTAAGTTAATGTGCTATTTCTCCCATGCGGATACTTCCAGTTATGATATACTTACTATTGGAATAACAAGAGATTAAAATTTGTAACCAGGAAAGACTACAATGTAGAACAGAGTAGGAACTGATACCAAAACCTTGGAGAGTGTTTCCCAACACAAGCCCTACCATTTCGCACACCTTATTCCAGCTATAAGTGGCTTGTAAATCATTTCCAAGGCGAGGTAGCCCCTTCCCCCAACTCGAGTCATCCTAACAGCGGGGCGTATTTTACAGCAAAACTGTAGCCCTGAGGAGCGGCCCGCGGGGCCGAAGGCTGCGGGGCCGCCCTCCGTCGCCCGCCACCGCGGTGGGCAGAGGCCCGCGGGGCTCCATGGCGCGGGCAGAGGCCCAGGGTCGTGCAGGCCCTTCCCAAGGAGACGGAGGCTTCCGCCCGCCCGCCCCCGGGCACTGGTACCTCATGCTGTAGGCGCCGGCGCCCAGCTCCTGCCCGATGCCCGAGAGGCTGGCGTCGAAGTCGTGCACCAGCCCGGACTCTATCACCTCGTCCATCTTGAGCACCCAGGCCATCTTCCGGCCTCGCCGCCGCCCGGCGCGCGGCGCGGTCTCCGCGAGCGGGGCGCAGGGGCCGGAGCTCCGCGGGCGCGTCCTGAGGGAGGGCGCGGGTGAAGCCTCCGGCGGAGCGGCGAGTGGTCACCAGCAGCGGCCCGGGCGGCGGCCGGGATGAGAACAGCCGGGGCCGCGCGGGCAGGGCACGGCGAGCCCGGCGAGCAGCTGCAGCGGGAGCGGCCGGGCCGCCGGCAGCGCCTCCCTCCCGCGGGCGCCGGCCCCGCGCCTCATGCCGCCGCCGCCGCCCACCCCCTGCGCCGCTAGCGCTAGCGCCGCCGCTGCCGCCGCCCGCCCCGCCCCGAGGCCCCCGGTCGCATCCTCCCCGGGAACGCGCGGGAGCGGGAGCGCAGCCCGCCCGTCACCCTACCACCGGCCTCGACCCCCGGCCCTCGGCCCGCCCGCCCCGGCTCGAGCGCCCCGCCGCCCCGGCCCACCCCGCCGACGCCGCACCGCCCGCCCGAAGGCTGGTTTCTACGAGGCTCCGGCTCGAGCTCGCTCGCCGCTTCCGCCTCCCGCGGCCCCGCCCCGGCCGCGGCCCCGCCCCCGCGCTCGCCCCGGGCCAGGCCCGCCCCGCACCGCCTGGGGTTTCGCGGCACCCCCGACACTTAGCTGTGAAGGAACCGTGGGGCAGTGTCGTGCGGCCCCGCCCACACGGCAGGTTCCCAGCCTCCGCGGCCTGGCGGCCTTCCTGCACGCCAGCCCGGGAAGAGGCGGAGCCAAAAGGCCGCCCGTTTCCGCACATCCCGAAAGGCAGGCTGATTGACAGGCGACCTGAACAATAATGGCAAGCGCCTGATCGAGGCTCCCGTGAGTCCCCGTGCCTCTATACTAAACCACCAATCAAAATCTTCTTCCTCTTGGGCGGGTTCTAGGACTGAATTTGCTGCCAAAAGAGAGAATTTATTGGGCCGTACCGAAGGAAGCCGCCCTAAACCCCACTTCTGGAGGTGCTTTGATCTCATGTGGTCTTTGTGGGTAGTTTCTGGGTTTTGCCCACTCTATAGATGGCGAGATGCGTTATGCGTCTTAGCCATTAGCGGACTATTGGCTGTTCAAGTCCCTCTCTGGGGGCTGAACGACCCGTTAGGCAGAAAGTCTTGACTGACGTGAGTGAAAGCCAATCAATGCTCCCGAGAAAGGGCTCCGGAAAGTTATCTCGACTACTAACTACGCCGAGCAGTTTGGCGAGCTTGAGTTAAAGGAGGGGTTCGGTTTCAGGCTGTTATGCTATTGTTACTGTTTATGGTTCTGGAGTTCACTGGACATAGGGGTATTCCCATCCAGGGTCTTTCCTGTCGAGTCAAGGATACCCATATTCATGTCTATTGCTGATGCTGACTGTGGATCCAGACCTCAGTTGGGCTGTTGAAATACCTACACGTGGACTTTCCGTGTGGTCTTGACATACATACAGCTCGGCAGCTGGAATCCAAAGGCAAGTTCCAAAAGACAAGTACGAGAAGTTACTGGTGTTTTAGGACAAAGATTCTTTGCTTGAGCGAACTTGAGTCATGCTCCCAGTGTCCTCCTGTCCTATCTGTAAAATTCAGGTCTAGCAGGAAGGAGTCATTTTAGGAACCCTTTATTTCTATGTCTGATCAGATTCCTTAGTCTCCACCATCACCTCGGTAATATCTGATCACTCTCGCCTGTCTTCAACAAGAAACCTATTAGGTGGGTTCAACCAGAAACCCCCTTACCTTTTATGTTTCCTCTTAGCAATTTTCCATCCACTGACCTCTGCCCTTCTCCTTGGCTCTAAATTCCCATTTAGAGAATTTGCTGCATGTGGGTTGAGCGCAGTCTCCTTGGGCTTTCCAGGTGGCGCTACTGGTAAAGAATCCATCTGCCAATGCAGGAGAAGCATGAGGTGCAGGTTCAATCCTTGAGTTGGGAAGATCCCCTAGAGTAGGAAATGGCACCCCACTGCCTGGAAAATTCCATGGGCAGAGGAGCCTGGTGGGATACTCCTTGCACTCAAGGGTCAGACATGACTGAGCACACATGTCTCAAGATGGCTGTCACAGCTCTAGATATTACATCTATTTTCGGGCTTCCCAGATGGTAAAGACTCTTTCTGTAATGTACAAGACCCAAGTTCAACCCCTGGGTTGGGAAGATCCCTTGGAGAAAGGAGTGGCTACCCACTCCAGTATTCCTGCCTGGTGAATTCCATGGACAGAGGAGCCTGGCGGGCTACAGTCCATGGGCTTGCAAAGAGTTGGACACAACTGACTAACACTTTGACTTCAGTCCTGTTGAGCCCAGTCTCCCCAACTGCAAAATTCCATTGCAGTGGTCCCTGTACCTATAATCATGGTCCGTCCATCTTTAACAATTATCATTGGTTTTTTTTCCCTTAACACTTAAGGTGTGGGACCAGAAACTGATATAGAATCTTTATTCTGCATTGTATTCTATTAGTCAAGCAGCCACAGAATCAGACTGATGGGCGGAGAGTTAAATCATTTGAGGATCATGTCTTAAAACTTCCAGAATCACCCTCTGACCACAAGTGTTTTGCATTCTTTCCACATGCAGCATAAACTCGTCTTCTCCCCAGGCCCATGTGAAGTTCTCATTCCACTACAGCGTTAAGTTCCAAAATCTTGTGAGGTCCTGGAGCAGATGAGGCTCTTGGATGTAGTTTCTTGGGTGTAATTCAAGTGGTTCCTCTCCATGTGAAGTTCTGTGAATTAAAAAGACAGCAGATCTGCACCAATCACTACCACAATGATGAGAGATGCACAGGAGACTGCCTCTATAGGCATTTCCCTTCTAAAAGGACAGCAGTAAAAGGCACACAGTAGTTACTAGTCCATAAAAATTCTGAAGTCTAACTGAGTAAATACTGTCGGTTCCTTGATAAGGATTCTGTCACCTTCCTGGGAATACTCAGTGGCTCTTTTCTCCATCTACTGGGCTCTTGGCTGCACCTTCTGAGTTGTCCTTCCAGTTCCATAAAAAGTAGCCCATGTTTACAGCTAACTCGTTTTCTCAGCTGCTTCCTGTCCATAGTTGTGCAGAAGTCTGAAGACCTCTCTTCACGTTGTACTGTCCCTGTCCCTTCCAATCTAAGCTGATACAATTCATTTTTAAACGTTGTAGGTCTTTTGAATCAATTTATAACCTACTCCAATAAGCAAAATGCACCAACACATTGTGGGGGGAGATGTAGCTTAATTGTATTGTTCTGGTTCAGTTTCTTATAAAGTCACAGTCATGACATTCAGGCTGCAGTGGTGAAGGCTTAACCAGGCAAGAGGATCCACATCCAAGCTCACTTGCGTGACTGTTGGTCAGAAACCTCAGTGACTCAATGTTTGGGACCACAAGGCTGCTTGTTGTTCAGTCACCCAGTGGTGTCTGACCCTTTGTGACCCCACGGACTGCAGGGCACCTGGCCTCCCTGTCCCTCACCATCTTCCGGAGTTTGCCTAAGTTCATGTTCAATGGATCAGTGATGCCATCGAGCCATCTTATCCTCTGATGCCTTATCTTATCCTTCTTCTGCTCTCCATCTTTCCCAGCATCAGGGACTTTTCCAGCGAGTTGTCTGTTTACATCAGATGACCAAAATACTGGAGCTTCAGCTTCAGCATCAGTCAATATTCAGCATCAGTGAATATTCAGGGTTGATCTCTCTTATGATTGACTGCTTTGATCTCCTTGCTGTCTAAGGGATTTTCAGGAGTCTTCTCCAGCACCACAGTTCACAGGCATTAATTCTTTGGCGTTCTGCTTTCTTTATGGTCCAGCTCTCACAAACATACGTGACCATATGTTGGGAAGACCATAACCTTGACTATACAGACTTCTGTTGGCAGAGTAATGTGTCTACTTTTCAGTACACTGTCTAGGTTTGTCATCACCTTCCTGCCAAGAAGCAATTGTCTTCTGATTTCATGGCTGCAGTCACCACCCACAGTGATTTTGGAGCCCAAGAAGAGGAAATCTGTCACTACTTCCATCTTTTCCCCTTCTGTTTGCCATGCCGTAATGGGGCTGGATGACATGATCTTAGTTTTTTAATATTTAGTCTTAAGCCAGCTCTTTCACTCTCCTCCTTCACCCTCATAAAGAAGAGGCTCTTTTGTTCCTCTTTGCTTTCTGCCATTAGAGTGGTATCACCGCAGATCTGAGGTTGTTGATGTTTCTCCTGCTTATCTTGATTCCCACTTGTATCTCATCCAGCCCGGCATTTCTCACGTATAGGTTAAACAAGCAGGGTGACAGCAGACTCCTTTGCTGCTTGGGTGTCCTCAAAACATGCCACTGGCCCCTCCTGAGAGAGCTAATTCTTAGATATGTTGATAAGGAGTCCGGGGCCCTCAAGGAGGAAAGGGTCCAGGGCTCTCGTGGAGGAGAAAGGGGTCTAGGGCTCTCAAGGAGAAAGAGACAAAACCATCTTTTGAAGGGATGAATGTCAAAGAGTTGGTAGATGTATTTTTAACCAGAAGAGCCACATTCATCATTATCGCTTAATAGGTTTTTGAAGGCACTAAAATAGAAGAATTAGATCAGAAATTCAAGGTATAAAATTGGAAAGAAGGTTAAAATTATCACTGTTTATAGACTATCTGCTCATATATCTGAAAATGTCATGGGAAGAGAGTAAAAATTTAATAACACGGTAGCATCTAGAAACCAACTTACAAAGTATAAAGAACTGTGTGAGCAAAGATTTTTAATTCTGATAAACACAAATGTACATTGAAAACTGAAAACACCACAGGTGTGTCCAGTCACTCAGCAGTGTCCGACTCTGCGACCCCATGGATTGTAGCCCACTAGCTCCTCTGTCCATGGGATTTTCCCAACAAGAATACTGGAGTGTGCTGCCATGCCCTCCTCCAGTGGATCTTCTGGACCCAGGGATTGAACCTGCGTCTCCTACATTGGCACTTTACCACTAAGACACCTGGGAATCTAAAAATACTACATCCAATATTATAATGGTA